TTGATTTCAGCAATCAAATTTGCATCAACCGCTTCTCATCCGCAAGCCAATGCCACCTTGTCACGATCTCAAAGGAACACGTTACTTAACCAAACCATTAATACGGGGCAATGCGCGGAGAGGCGTGCGCCTTGCCCTTTTGCACTGCGGTCTCCCCGCGCAAGGGCATTGGTGAATACTCCTCTGAAAAAGTTTGCCAAAACCTCGCTGTAAAGCGCGGAACTTTGATCCGACACAATAGCCACGGGCAAGTCATGTTGGCAAAATACTTTGTCGATTGACAGCTTGGCGGTATAGATAGTTGCTGACTGCACTAAGATGTGCGTTTTGCGCTCAAAGTCCACAAAGATCACGACGATAAATTTGGGCACATACCAAAAACGTTCATGTTTATGGCTTATTCACGCTCCGTCTAAATCGGCTGATCGGCTAAATGCGTCGACGCATGCAGCGAAAGAATAACTTGTTGATACCTTTTTCTTTTAAATTTATACATGTTTGTCCATGCATACATTTTAACCCACCAGTATCTAGCATCAATCGAGCAGAATAATGTTTTGTTTCGAGATAGCTGCCCAAAAGAGTACCCTCTATATCGTACATTGTTCGTTCTGGGGCATCCCACCATTTGGTACCACCACTCAATGTGTGTCTATTGGGTCGGTTGTATATTTTAGGATAATGGATAGTTTTTTAGACATGCAACAAAACGCTTCGACAAAGCAGCCTTTCTAACAAAATTTCCAGCAACGCAACAGATGCTGCGTTTGACCCATTCGCGACGTACATACGACTGTCAAAGCTAGGGCGACAGGTACGTGCGTCTATTGCCACATTAGGCCGACCCAGCTGATGCCTAATCTTAAAGGTAAACACGCAATCAAGAAAATTTATTCTCCATTCTTCTACAAGACATATGCGGGAGACGTGGATGCGTGCAACGACGCATGATACGCAGAGATCACAACCGCCTTAGAGCTTACCCTGCACTTATCAAGAGCAGACTTTATCGCATTAAGATTCTTCCTGTAGAATGGGTATTTTCCTTTTCCTACTTCACGTGACAACCCTTAACCGTAATAATACGTATATTGCCGTCTGGAATCTGCTTGGAGTAATGCAGCAACAGTTGCGATTACATATCAAGCGCGCTAGAAGACGTCTAACGGTAAAGGCGGAAACATCACAAACGACATGATATGGCCAATCCGGATTTAAAAGAGCCATAATTTCTCGCAAATGGGGGTTTTCTTCCAGATCAAGGCTACCTCTTTTGCCTCATCACCAACTGACACTCTTTTGGTAATGAAGGTGTCATGTCGGTACAATTCACATTGTAGTATCGGAAGCCACGCCAAGTCACTACCTTAAGTCATGTTGAGACAGAATCAGTGGCCAAATTACGATGACCTTAATTTTTGCGGGATAACTACGTAGACCATGGTTTTTGATGAAGTAGCACAAAAAAGGGATCTCGCTGGAGCAAAAGACACACTAACCAGTCGATATTGTCAAATATCATACACTTTAGCACAACTCGCTAAAGGGTTTCTCGGTTCTCCACGCCCGACACTACATGCTCTGTAGAGCTATGAACGAGTACATCGACGAAAAGGGGTTTTGTGCTTGGGCACGATGTTGTCTGAATAGCTGCATCAATCAATTGATTGACATTTACTGGCGCGTTAGACAGTCCATATGGTATGACTAGGCACGTCTAAAGCATTCCACTCGGAGTGCACCGTAAGAAGAAAACCTATGCTCCTTATAAATATTTGATTACGCCCGTCAACTCAGTCAAGAGCGCTGGGCACGGCGCAAGTGATAATGCGGTTGCAGCACATTCTTTCTAAAAATCAAGGATCGCGCTGCAATAGTGTCATCCTTTCAATTTAATACATATGCACAATTTGCCACTTACCGCTAGCTTTTCTGACAAAGAAAATCGGCATCGGGTGGGGGATTTTTTGTCTCTCGTAAGACTCGCTTCCTGCAAATCACCGAAAATATTATCGGAGACTGTGAATAGTTTTCTCGGCACAGGTCTTTAGCTTGTGACACAGTGTTTGGTTCAGGAAATCAGTCAACATCATGACGCGTTCCTGATTTGGTGCGAAGACGTGCTGTAGGTCTCATGTCACCAAGTCTCGGCATTCCTAAGAAATGGCCTTCCACCCGAATGTGGAGCTCGATACGAAATTGATCGTAAACCCGGTCCAAAGCATGCAGTGCTTCGACAGTGGCCACTGTCGCGTGAATAAAGTACGTATATCGATGAACTCTTTGCTCAAAGCAAGCTGCTGAGTCCCCCTCACAGCGCGCCGATGTTTTGTGTGCTTAAATCAAACGGTGAATGGCACATCATTCTCAAATTGAACGTGTGGATGATATCCGACCAAACTCCGATTTTACGTAAAGATGTCACCTTCCACCGCATTTTTGGCTGTACAGTGTTTAGTGTACTTGATGTAGCTGATGGATATAACCAAATCATGATGAGTGAGGAGGCTGTCTCTTTGACGGCTGTTAGCACACCGTCCGGTATGTTATGAACATGGCTTTTGATGCCACAAGGAATCTTCAATGCCCCAACATCGCTCAATCGATTGGTCTCAGGTCTATTTCGACCACTGGGAAGCTTTGTACGAGCCAATTTTGGCGATATTTTTGTTCATTCGAAAGACGAAGATACAAAATTTGCCGAAGTAATGCACTTGGAGAAAGTCCATGTGGTGCTATGATGTATGCGTGAACATTCGCTGCAAGCGAATCTTCCAAAGTGTACTTTTGGTGCTAAAGAAGAACCAGTCCTCGAATGTTACGTTGGTGAACATGGTGTAAGGGCAGATCCTGAGAGGGTCAAAACAATCGTGGAGTGGCCAGTTTTAATGAATCAAAAGTATTTGAAGAAATTGGTTGGTTTGTCCAATTACCTGCATCGCTTCTCGCGTAATTACGCGGAACTGGTCCGCGCACTATAAAAATTGCTGAAGAAGGATAGATCAGAAGAGTGGACAATCACCTGTGTAAAAGCATTCACTCAAATCAAAATCAGCTGGATGGAAGCGTCATTACTTGTTTTACCAGATAAATGAAGCCGCGTAGCGCGGTGTGTGACGCTTTGAGTTTGCAATCGGTTGTATAAAAGGACTCAGGAGGACACAATCGTGTCGTGTCGTTTCAGCCGCCACAGCTAAAGTCAGCAGAAAAAATAACTCTGTCCACTACAAGGAGCTTTTGACAATGTAGTATGCTCTGGTAAAGTTTCGTGTTCACTTCTTGAGTTCAACTCCATATGTCGTCTACATGGATCACGCAAGTTCGTGATTGGCTGTTCAGTCTCCTTACTTGTCACAGCGAACGGCTCGCTGGTGTCATCCTTCGCAGAATACAACGTCGCAGTCGCATACAAGCCGTGAAAACTGAACGTGCTGGTTGACGCATTGTCACGTCGTCCAAATGATGAGCTAGCCCATATTAGCTATATCGTAAACGATGTATTCGGTATGATATGATGAGCGTATTTTGAGGATGAATACTGTGATCTGATCATCAGGACACTCTCATCGAGTGAGATGGAGCTCCATGACAAGCTACCTGGCTGCATAATATCACGGATTTATCGTTACGCATTGAAGGATGGTCTTTCTCACTATGAATTTGCACATGGCGACGAGCCGCGGATCGTGTTTTCCCACAACTATGATTCGAGGTACAAGATTGTGTATGAGGCGCATGATGTGCCGATGACCGGTCAATTTGGCCCTGAGAAGACCGGTCAATTTGGCCCTGAGAAGACCTACCAGTCTCTCAGTGCCCAATTTGGTGGCCCACACATGTACGAGTGGGTTGCGCGATATGTGAAGACATGCGATGTCTGTCAGCGCGTGAGGAGCGCATGGCAAACATAAGTGCCACCGCAGAGTCTCTCTATTTTTATTGACTGCTGGAAGTCAAGCAGTCTCGACTTTACTTTCGGATTTCCAAGAATGCTAAAAGTCACAATGCAGTGCTCGTCTCCGCCAACAGACTCAGCAAAATGGTTTGAAGCACTCCATGTAGCGATTCCATCGACTCCGAAGGTTTGGCTAGATTGTTTACTGATCACATTTTTAGTAATCACGGGTTGCCAGAGCCATCGTTTATGATCGTGATACACGATTTACGAATGGCTTTTGAAAAAAATTGTTTTGAGTTATTGGGGATATGTCCGCAGCAGCATACCCTAAGACCGATGGGCAAACAAAACGTGCCAACTGAGTGGTCGGTGATGTGTTAAGAAGCTTCTGTGCGAAACATCTCGAGAATGGAGTTCGTTGTTACCATTGGCAGAGCTGCTATAAACCATTCGGTTCATTCATCAGCTAAATTTACGTCATTTTTACGAGGACCGCAATTACCGCTTTGTGCAATGAGTGCTGTCCCCCGAGGTAAGTGGGGGAGGAGCTCGGCAAATTGTTGCCTTTCAAATTAATACAATCAGTGATGCGAATATGAAGCGCAAGTACAAGGATGACCTTGACTTATTCATCATGAGTCGTGTGAATGTGACCATACGTGTGCGAGATACAGTGGCCAATCGCAAGATTTACAAAAGGAATACGCAGGTAGACAAGGTCATCAGGGCAGATGTCGTTATTTTCGGGGATTATGTACTCGCTTAATGTCAAGAACCTATCAAACGATGTTGTCTCAAGTTTAATACGTTCGAAGCTATCACATCGCTTCATCGGTCCATTACGAGTAGAATCATGCCATAAGAATGCTTACACTATCGACCTGCCAAGCTGGCTAAGGACACATCCAACGCTCTACGTAATGCTTTTTAAACCATATCATCGCGACGATGCCATTTTCAATTTGGATGAAGCGCAGAGTCATACGGATATGACTTCAGAGCCACAGCTTCGGCATGAGGGTCAAAGGATGAACCCCTTGGCGTCGTCGCTTCAGAGCATATCTACCCGAACTAGAGCGAGGGCGCTTGGCAGGAGGCCGCATAACAAGCGTCGTCGGCGGGAGAATTTGCAGGGCCTGCTCCGAACGCCGAATCCAATTCTTGATTGCATCCCCAGGCAAATTTCCACGACGCCAAGCGAGATTGGGAGCCTCGCAAACGACCTTGTTCACGCATTGTCGTTTTCGACACCCGATCAAACAGAAAAGCATTGTTTGCCGGTTACCAGCAAAGAAAGCATTTCTACCTTCGTCAATCGTAAATTCAAATCAGACGAAGACTACGGAGCAGCTACAGAAAAGAAGAAGAGGGAACGCTTTCTTCGGGCACCTCCTCCTCTTCTCGATCGACAAGAAAATCGATACAACCTTGTCGAAAACGTGGTGACAAAGAGGAACGTCGGTGGTCGGAAATAGCACTTGGTGTATTCGACTAATGACCGAACGTATGTACATTCTCGATATCGGATTCCACCCGATTATGCGCTGTAAAATGAGCGAACCGAGCATATTGCGTACCTCAACACGTCTGCAGCAGTATTCGCATTTTACAGATGGTATATATTCACGGATTTCGTTGCACGAAATCCAAACCATGCCTCGAATCGAATGTCGATTGTCTTAACTGAATCCACATTAGGTTTCGGTACACACATTGAACTTTGTTGCTTTCCTCCAGCACGTGTAATCGGTCCGATGGCGCAAAAATATGCGGTTCGAGTCATTACTCGGCTTCCATTCGACTAAACAGTCCGTCAAACTCTAAGGTGGCACCATCACTTCGGTCGCAAAACTCAGATCAATCTCATGATAACGACAAATGCGCTAGACGACTGAACTCGTCAATGATCTCTTCGTAAAGTTGTCATCCGCCCAAGCTAATCATTTGATGCCAGGTGGTGCCAAAGCGCTGTTCGACGTAAAATTGGAGCATTATCCAAATACGATGGTGGCAAAGACGCCATCGCATCCTCGGATTGATGTGCGTTTCTCTCTGCGCTCGTCGTCGGCGCAAGTCACCTTCAAAGCAGATCATTTTGTGTAGATCACGAATGATCGAGTCTCAGATTAGGAAAAATGAAATTATATGGGTAAACCCACTTTTGAGTAGGGGTGGTGGTGTAGCGGCCCGGACCCATTACACATGTTGTTTGAACCACATCCCTTTATAGTTGTATTCCCCAATTCTGTTATTTCAGAATTCAGAGACATTAATCAGTTTAGGGAGATTTAAGGCTTCCTGACCATAATAAACTTTTCATTACCATTCCTTTTCTTCTAGGCAAATCATCAGCTCATAGGTTTAGCGGTGAAGCTTGTGTGTAAATGGAAAGGTAATTCCAATAAAGTTATTCGAGCATAAGCTGATGCACTGCCCGCAAGAGTTTGCTTTTCTGATCAATCATACCCCGCACGACTGTAACTAGTCAACTAGATTGGTCTGTGCACATGCAAGATACAGATTAATAGCAAGGCCATCAAACGGTTGAACATCACTTGTACGTTTTACACCCCCAAGTATAACCTGCCGCTCTTAAAGCATTCCGCTCCGTCCCTAATCACTGCAGTGAGAGAGATACCACTCGCTATCATACGCAGTAGATCGTATCTATCAAGTAGGTCAAAAGCAGCGATCATGATGTAAAGCACATGTTTTATAAAAATGGACGCTTACACCAGAAATGTGGTTATATTAATCTAAACTTAAGCATGCGCAATACGCCACTCACCGTCAGCTTACTGATACAGAAAGTTGGCGCCGGGAGGGAAAATTTTTTTCTTACCAAACCCGCTTCTTGCTTCACACAATAGGAAGCGTCTAGGACATCACACAGCTTGCTTGTAAGGACCACTGACGTTTGACTCAGCATTTTGGGGGGGGACAGGTCGGTATCATAGTCAAATCTAAATATGTAGATAATCGCTCGTCACCACATCACAATAATTCTTGTCAAGAGAAGTAAATGTATCTATAGGATTCTTGAGGATTATTATCTTCCTCCCCGCGCTCAGCGCTCTGCAAGTGACCTCGATAACAGACTTATTCGTGGCGGATGATGAGCTCTGTCTCTCCACCGGTAACACACGTACCAAGTTAGCGATCGCAAACTCTTGAGGGTCTTTAAACCCCAGGGATGCCTTGTTCGAACTCTATCAAATTCTGCCTGAGTTAGTGCGGAAAACATTTGTCTACTAGAACTACCTCGGTTGCCCCAGGCATAAGTAAATGAGAGAACCTCGCGTTGCAAGGTATTGCTGACACAGCGGTGCCAAGGATGGACCACATCAAGTTCTGGCTCATCCGACCCCCGACAGAAAGTCACTTTTCTCTTTGCCCTTCACTAATTCAATCAATTATACAGTGACCTAATACCGCGCGCCTTCACGACAAGCGTCATATTACTAATCCAGAAGTAAAACTTCACCTTTCTCCCTCCTCAATGTAAAACATTGGACTCAGCGGCTGAAGTCACACCACCTTGGTCAAGCATAGCAAATGTATTCCACGCTTGAGTGACCGTGAGCCTAAAAGGATCAATCCTGCCAGCGTAGTAGCTGCTAAGCTATGA